AAAAACCCAGGACCAGGCATGAGAAACTTGCTTTGTGGTTGTTGGTCAGGGAAGCCCAGGAGATCCCCAAAATAATACAAGCTATTGCTCTTTCCCTTGCTTTCCTCCCAGGATCTGAAGGTAAGTCACTTCTGCTGAAGAGATCATATACTTTGGACACAAGACTTTGAGTAATCAAGCTGGGTCTGACCTGTCAGCCTCCTTCCTGAGAGACAGAACAGCTCTCACAGGACCAGAGGGTGCTATGCCAGCTACCAAGGGAGAGAAGCGATCAATAGTCCTACCCAGCTGTGACTTGCATGGCATAATATCCCCAAAGGTGGAATAGTGGTACTTATATTTTGGAGCCAACTATTATCTATCTAATTGGACTTCAGGCCTGCTAAATAGGAGGGAAAGCATGCCTGGTACTGTAAGCCTGGCTAACTACCCATGGTTGGTGAGGCCCTGGGACCTACAGGAGAACCCACTACTTCCACTTCCCTAAGTCAGTATAATTCTAACTGTGTCTTAGTGGGAGTTTCTACTACTTTGATAGAACACCATGAAGGCAACTTGAGAGGAAAGGGTTTATTACAACTCTTAGGTCATAGTCCATCGTTAAGAGAAACTGGGGCAGGAACTCTCAAGGCAGGAATCCAGAAGCTTGAACTGAAACAGAAGCCATGCAGAAGTGCTGTTTATAGCCTTGCTTCCCATGGCTGTCTCAGCCTGATTTCTTGTACTATTCAAGATCACCTGCCTATGGTGCTGCCTATGGATAGCACAAACACAGTGGGCTGGGCCTTCCTCCATCAACCATACATCAATAAAATGCCACACAGGCTTATCTACAGACTGATCTTATGGAGCATTTTCTCAATTGAAGTTTCTTCCTCTCTGATGACACTAGCTTGCGCCAGACTTAACAAAAACTAGCAACCACAAACTGCCTTCTAAATACATATCCTTACACTAATTGATAAGTGTGGCTCTCACTGCTCATTAAAGAGGCTTCTTTGAAACTTTTGGAGACCATCACAGAAACCCACAACTGATCAAAATGCAGAGAACAACTGCCAATGGGATGCTCAGCCACATTTGATACATGCACAATACCTAAGACTCAAGAACATTATAAAAGAGGAAGAGGAGCGATTGTAAAATCAGAGGACCAGGACATGTGCACCCATCATCTTAATATTGTTGCCTAATTAAGGCTTGAACAATGGCAACATGGATGGGTGAAACCTCACAAAGCCTCCTCCTAGATAAAAAGCCACAGGCAATTAATGGCTGCTGAGAGAGGGAGAACCAGGCATCCCCAGAAATGAGACCATAATTGGTTATCCAATATCAAGTGGGCATCCTTTAAAACACATACATGTGAGCAACACTGAGTAGACTCAATAGGCTGTATGTACGTGTGTGTGTGCGCGCGTGTGTGTGTGTGTGTGTGTGTGTGTGTGTGTGTGTGTGTTAACAATTAAAGGAAAAAAAGCCATGAACATGTAGGGGAGAGGCAGGAACAGTTAGAGGAGTTGGAAAGGAAAGGGGGAGGAGAATGGTATAAATAGTACTCATATATAAAATTTTTCAAAAAATAAACTTTACAATGTTTTCTCATGCCTGTAAATACCTTATTTTGAAATGTGGATATTGACAATGACACTTGCATCTTTTATGTCAAACCCTAAAGCTAATGGGTGATGGGAAGAGTGTGTTTCCAACAGTCTATAGTACTTCTTTCCAGGGTATTTTGTGTTTCAGAATTTACCTGGTTTGCATGTTTCTGTCTTCTTCACTCCTGCTTTGTTGGTTGTAAGAGGGTCTTGCATTTCAATCACATTCTGAATGTATGTTAAAATAAGGAATTTTATAAATATATTAATTACATACACTGAATAATTAAAAATTACAATTACTACCTTCCAGTGTGGACATTTCTTGTCCCTCAAAAAAAAAAAAAAAAAAAAAAAAAAAAGGTAATATGGCAACTCAAACCATACAATCAAGAAGAAAAGAAGAATTAGGATATAGCAGAGTTCTCACATCTGACATTCAAAATAATCACTTATGTTCTTGAACTTAATTTTACTAATATGAACAACAATATTACAGAAATACATGTACATAAATTTACATATAGATTTAATAAACTGTTTTCCAGACTTCAAAAAAAATTGCGTGAAAAGATATCTCAGTGGGTAAAGAGCCTGCTGTACAAGTGTGAGGGCCTAGATTTGAATCCCCACAAACCATACAGACAGATGCATGTCTGTCATCCCAGCACTCCCACAGGGAGATAGAAGTAAGTATAGTGGAATCCCTGGAAGCTGGTGGGCTACCGTCCTGTATGTACAGCAGCAAGACACTAAAGAACCAGTGAACAAAGAGGGCAGGGACTCACATGTGAGGCTGTGAGGTTGCTGTGAGAAAACACCACGCCCAAGGCAACTTATAGAAGGAAGTGTTTATTTGGATTTTCTGTTCCAGATGAATAACTGTCATGGGAAAGCATGGCAGTGAGCAGCAGACAGTGACTGGAGAAAAAGCTGAAGGTTCACATCTTGAATTAAAAACATGAAGCAGAGAGAGCAAACTGGGACTGGCATGTGGGTTTTTTACATCAAAGCCCACCCCCAGTGACATAGTTCCTCCAGTAAGGCCACATCTCCATAATCTAGCCCCAACAGCACCACCAACTGGAGATTAATATTCATATAATTATACCATAAATAATCATGATCTTCAATTTTTCCACTGTTTCAAAAGTACATGACAAAGGAAATGGCTTAGTAGGTAGAGTGCTTGTGTTCAAATTCACAGAACCAATGTAAAATGTCAAGTGTGGTAAATTTACTTATGTAATCATAACACCAGAGAAGTCAATCCCTGGAGCTCACTGGCCAGCCAGCCTACTTCAATTGGTGAATTTTAATTTCAGTGTAAGGCTCTGTCTCAAAACTTAAGATAGCTTTTAAATCCATGTGATGTATGGCACCTGTACAAATATCCAAATGAAGACCCATAAACACACATCACACCCAAACTCACAAATAGAAAGTATAAATGAGTCATGACAGTGCATAATAAATTTGTGTTTATATATTATTCCTGAATTGATCAGTCTGGATAAACTTGTAAAATAACAGTTCATAAACAATTTTTTCATAGGCACTAGGACTACCGATATCCCTGTTGTTTTTATCCTATGGTTTAGCCATTTTGGATTCATATCAATCTAATCATTTAAAAAGTTATGTGAACCAGAGCTAAGAAATAATGTATAGTGTTACTTAAATAATAAAATATGGTTGTTAAAATGGGAAAAGATATTAGATATTGATAATCCTGTTATACATCAAAATCGGTAGCTATTAAAACAAACCATTTGAACAAGGAGGAGCTAACGGCCACTAGACTGATAGCTGGGAAGCCAGCATGGGACTGACTCAGGCCCCCCTGAATATGGGTCTCAGCCAGAAGGACTGAGCAGCCTAAGAGACCTCAGACAGTGGAGCCAGGATGTATCCCTGGTGCACAAAAGAACTTTGCGAACATATCTCCCATGGAGGGATAACTGCCTTAATCTAGAGACAGGAGAGAAGCCCTAGTCCCTACTTCACATGACCTGTCAGATCTACATGACCCCAACTGGATGACATTCCCCTACATATGGAATTGGGGTGGGGGGATGGGAGGGGAGGGTGTTTAGAGTGCATGTGAGAGGGCAGGGAGGGTAAAAGGGAGGGAGGGAGAAGGGAGGGAAGGAGGGAGAGGGGACTGGGATCAACATGTAAAATAATAAATTAAATTTTAAAAAAATGCTTTGACTCCAAAATTTAAGTTGAAGAACAAGTTACTGGGGAAAAGGATTTCTATTTTTGTTTCCACAGAAAATGAAAAGATGTGGATTCCTTCCAGACTAATGTGGTTTGATCACGCCAGACCGCCTGAAACAGAGTACAAGCTGATCCTACATTCAAAACAGCTGGACAAAACAGCCCTACAGACTACAGCCAGGATATCTGAATCTTCTTCGAATCCCCCATGACAGCGCCCCTTACCAGCAGGAAATAGTTTGGAAAGAACGACGCCCACATTCCCAAATATTGTGTATAAATGTTTGTTTAATTGGACTTTGTTATATAAAATTAAATAAAATAATAATAAAAAAGAAAAAGAAAATCAAAACACTGGGAAAAAAACAAAAAAATAAAATAAAACAAACCATTGTGAAATTAACCAAATGTATTGTTTTGAAAATGGTTTGTTTGACATTTCAATATGACTATAACATGATTTGATCAAATTTGTCAGCTACTCCACCCACATCCCTACCACCATTTTTCCCTTCTAATATCATGTAGTTTTCAAAACTACTTCATCCTATATTTTATGGTGGTTTTTATTTCCAATATTGAATTGCTTTGCAAAATCATAATACACTTTCAAGAAAATTTATGGGAAAAATCATCTCTTGGAAAAGTTAGCTGTCTTTACATGTTCCCCATCAAATCCGCCCCCCCAAGAAAATACGTTCAACAAAGTAGCAGGACACACAATAATCAGAATCTTTCCTTATATACAAATGCCAAGCCTAGCAACAAGTAAATTAGGGAAATAATTCCATTTATGATAGCCTCAAAAAGGATCCTGGAATAAATCTAATAAAGGAAAAGAAAAATGTGCACAATGAAAACTTTAAAACACCGGAAAGGAGGAAATGCTCATGGACTTTCAGGATAGATACTGAAAAAATAAAATGTCTATTCTAAAGAAATCTACAAAGAAAGTGGAAAACAACCTCTCATCAAAATCCTAATATAATTCTTTGTGGAAAATGAAAAAAATAATTTTAAATTTCAATTAAAACACAGAATCCAGAGAAAATCCTATCATGGAAAGGGAGCGTGGGCACAAAGCCCTATGCAGAGCTAAGGAGCTGTTGGCAACTGATAACTTCTCACAGAGGAAGGCAGTTTCTATAAAAGTACAGTCCAGGGTGGGGGACCTTGTTACAAATGAAAGGCCACATCCAAGAGTATCTGCACAGTATCAACTGTACTTGATGGGGTGGTGTTGGGGGTTCTTTGGTTTTTTAGAGGACCTGAAGTTGGATGATTAGTGAAGTGGTGGCGGGTCTGAGGTGAGTTGGGGAAGGAGGTGAATATGACCAAAGTACATTTTCCAAGATTCTCAAAGGACTGAAAAAAATACAAGGGAACAAAAACTTTCTAAATAGGATATAATTGATACTCCCACTTGCTTGTTTACTATATATTTACTTTTTTTGATCTTCAGCCCCAAATAAATCTTCAGCAAATGTCTGAAAGACTCTCAGACATATCCTGATAAAATAGTTAACAATAATGAATGTGCACAAGTTTTCCATTAAATATCTCAATTTGGTAGTTTTGAATGTAATTAAACTTAAAGGGGAGAATGTTAAAAAAAATTCATAACCATATTAAATTAAAATATTACATAACCATATATACACACATATATATATATTCTCTAGATTCAGACTATTTTTGATCTTTGTGTGAGAACTGACTGAATACTAAACAATTTAGTGGAGAAGAAAACTATTCATAGATAAATGCTCATGTGCACATTTCAACAAAGGAATTAGCTTTACAATGTGCAGTCCTGTATTTCATACCAAAACCAAGATGGGCTTTTTAAATAAACATTTAAATCAAATTATCACTTATATCATTTTTTTTTCCAAAACAGGGTTTCTCTGTGTGGCCCTAGATATCCCAGAACTCTCTCTGTAGATAAGACTAGCTTTGAACTCAGAGATCTGTCTGCCTCTGCACCCTCAAATTCTGGAACTAAAAGTGTGCATCACTACCTGGCAGTGCTTATATCTTAACTTGCTATAATAAGCCATGAGAATTCCACATGTATCCACTGTTAAGAAAGAGATCAACAATAAATGTAATTTTTAACATAAAAAATGACACATGGTTGCGTAGTGAAATGAGGACAGACTTGGGAGGAGTTGGGGAAGTGGAATAAATATGATTAAAATGCACTGTATGAAATTCTCTAAGGACGAATTAAAAGAGGGGGAAAAAGTAAACATTATTAAAAATTTCCAAGAAAATCAAGTTCAGCAAGGAGTACTTTTCCCAGGAATAACATTACAAACCTTGGTGGCTGTAGGTGAGGCTGTCCCAGCACCAGCTTTGTTGGTAGGCCTTCAGAACAAAAAGTACACAAGGCATATGAGTACTATTCTTTTAAATGTAGTAAAATATCAGCTCTTTGCAAGGTGAACTGTATTTCTTTATTTCATTGTTCTAATTTGACCTGAGGGTTTAATACATGTTTAGTTCCTCATTTATGCCTCCACCTATCCCTATCTAAGGACTGCTCATTGGTGTATTACTTACAAGTTCGTATCATGCCAACCCCTGGACAACCCCTGGAAATATTTTGCATTTAAATATTGCCTACCATAATTCCTGTCAATGGTTCATAGAAATGAAACAAATCTTACAGCATAAAACATGTTACAATGATGAACTATTCTCTCTCCATCATCTACTCTTGGATTAAATACAAAGCTTTTTCATTCAAGTATGGTACTTTTGTTTCTTCCTCATGGAATATACTTATTTAAAAGAACCCATTGCAAGACTGGGAGACAGCTCAGTTGTTAAGAACACTTGCTGTTCTTTTGAAAGACCCCAATTTTGTTCTCAGCACCTGAAATTCCAGCTCTACAGCTCTGCCTCCAGCCCAAGGTGCCATCCTCCAGCACCTGCACAAATGTGTACACACTCACATGTAGACATACATACATGCAGACATACATACATACATACACAAAGAAAAGCTTGAATATTTTAAGATCATGTTTTCTCTTTGCCTGAAAAATAGTAGAAGGAGTCCCCTGAGGCATATTAAAATGTTGAAAGATAAATTTGCAAAGTCCAAGAATGTGTTTATAATTGTTTCTGTTAATATTTCTCACATTGAGGTTAGAACGTTAAAATTGTAGTATTATAACATAAGAGATATAAAGGGGAAGAGGGAATAACTGGAGTGTAGGGTGTGGGGATGAGCAAAAGATGGAAGAAGGGATGGAAAGAGTGATAACTGACACTAGCAGTACATGCTTTTAACCACTGATCCATTCCTCCAGTATATACTTATAACTGTGTGTGTGTGTGTGTGTGTGTGTGAGAGAGAGAGAGAGAGAGAGAGAGAGAGAGAGAGAGAGAGAGAGAGAGACTTTTTAATGATGTTACTTGTAAGGAGTACGGTTTTTCTCCTGCTGCCCCACGTTGGGCGCCATTTGTAAAGTGTAGGGTTTTTCCGCCTGCCACCGCTAGTCTTGTCCCGCCGCCGCGCCAGCCCCAAATAATGCACAGAGACTCTGTATTTGATACAATGCTATTGGCCAGATGCTAGTTTCTTATCGGCTAACTCTGTCTTAATTATTAACCCATTTCTATGTATTTCCACGTGGTCTTACCAGCGAGAGGCGGCTAGCAGTTCTATTCTCTCCAAATTCTCCATCTTGACTCCTCCTTACTACTTTCTATTTCCTCCTTGTCTCCTAGTTCCTCCTATCTTTCTTTCCTATTGGCCAACAGTGTTTTATTCATTAAACCAGTATGAGAAACATATACAGAATGACATCTCCCATCATCTCCTCTTTTCTCAGGATTATATCAAATACAGAGTCTCTGTGCGTTATTTGGGGCTGGCGCGGCGGCGGGACAAGACCAGCGGCGGCAGACGGAAAAAAAACGTACTCCTTACAGTTACTTACATTCAACAAGATATAATGAACCTCCCAGAGGCTCTAGGATATCAAACCAAAAGCCCAACGCCACGTGTGGGATCCTCCCCTGGAGTTGTTATTCAGGGGGATCCCAGAGACCCCCAAATAAAATACAGTCTATAGCCATTAATCTTGGTTTCTCACAAGAACATAATGTGAGACTGCATTGCTGAAAACACAACATGCTGTGGTCCCAGGGCATGAAGAAATCAAGCTGGTACTGACCAGGGAATCTCCTTCTAACTGACTAGCTTTCATAGACCAAAAAGATGCTCTACAGGCAACTAGGTTAAAAAAAAAGTCACTAAGTTTTACCCTTGTGGGCTACAATAATGAACAACCAGACAACATATGGCTGAGGGAACAATAATGGCACAAATGCAATGGGTAAACTACTGCTTTCTGGTTGTATTTTTCTCTACAAGCATGAAAAAGCATGAACCAAAGTAAAAACAGAAAAAAATTAAAAGTACAAAGGAGTGCACAATCTGAAAAGAGTGTAGTTGTAGAAAATGGGAACTAAGATAAGGAAGACTTCATTTTCCTAGGCTCAGATAAATGTTTGAGGTTTGAAACAAAACCAAACTGTGAAGTTAGAGAGTGGATAAAGCTTGAACCTCCCCTAAATAGATGACACTGGAAATTCAGTCATTCTGCACAGTCACTAAAACATTCCTCTCACAGGCTTTCTCCATCTTGGTGTGTACCATGTGTGACCTCATAGCCACAGCTCAGTGAGATCTGCCCTAAAACCTTTGGTGCAGCAAAGATATTTTTAACAGTATTTTTAAAGTATTAAGATACATTCTTGGATTATAGCTGTGTTTCTTAGAAAAACTCTAAAGCAATTTAACATAAAACCATAATTGACTTTCTGATGGATCTATGGATCTATGGATCTTACCCCTGTGCTGCACAGGGGTTTCTCAATCTATGAAGAAAATCAAGATAATTAATTATAGAATCACATAGTCTGACATTTACATCATGGTCTGGGTATTTGTTGATTGTGACTTGATGGAACAATTAATCAAACTCTGAATCATGATTGCTTAATTAGTAAAAGAAATGAGTTATAGTAGCACAGGCCCTTTTGAATAACTTGTGATAACTATTAATAAAAAACATTAAATATACAATGTGAAATCAAGTACTAAGTAAAGAAACATAGAGTTTTCTTTCATTGCACTCTATAATCAGTTGACATTCTTTTTTGAGTTTACATATCCTACCTGACTGAAGGGTTGTTTTCAGAACTCTCAGGTGCTGTCAAAGAAAAGACACAATTTACCTTGTATAGATAGCATGACACTGTCAAGTATTGAAGTGCAATAGTGGCTCTTTCAGACTGCTCTTTCAGAGATCCAGAGTTCAATTCCCAGCACCTACATGGTGGCTCACAACCATCTATAGTGAGATCTGATGCCCTCTTCTGGCCTGCAGGCATACATGTAGGCAGAATACTGTATACATAGTAAATAAGTAAATAAACATGGAAATGTTCTACAGTGAATACAAATTATATCACTGTGGGCAAGTGATGTATTAAAAATTGTTTCCCTTTGTTTTGTTGCATATAAAAAAAATGAAACGTATCAAAATGTGAAGCCTTGAAGTAAATTGCCTTGTTATAACAACCACAATTCCAGCTGAGACAATAGACTGGTAGTGACATGCAAACATTCTCTGGCTGCCCATGGAGAAGAGATCATGAGAAAAAGTGTGAGGGTCCATCTTGTTAATCCTCTTCTAGAAGATGCTAAAACTCACTCAGTTTTCACTATTTCTTTTTCATTCTTCCCTTTGGTGCAAATAAGGTTGAATGTCACTGGGTATTTTACCTCTCATAGAAGGAACTACTGGAATGATTGAACCCTTAATAGTCTAGTTGGGGCTGAAGAGATACCCCAGTGGCTAAGAGCAGAGCATTCCCCTCCAGAAGACCTGGGTTCAATTCCCAGCACCCACATGGCCACTCACTACACTATGTAATGCCAGTTCTGTGCGATCTGTTGTCCTCTTTTGGCTTCTATGGGCACTGCATGCACATTGTGTACAGATATAGTCCAGCAAAACACCAATATACAACAGATACACACCAATAGGCATAAAATAAAAATTTGTAACTTTTAACTATTAAGAGTATATCTACTCCCAAACCATAGCTAATAGTAAGAGGGAAACTTGGAGAAAAGTACTGGGGTGGTGAGGGAGGAAAGACTATCAAGGGCAAAGGACATGGACAATCAAATATGAAATTACAGATAGAACCAGCAACTCAAGTTTTCAGAATGTGACCACAGTTGGCTCTCCCTAGGGGACAAATTAAATGTGATTTTTTTCACTCCTTTTTAAAATGTGAAACAACAACATAAGGTGTGGGAAACACTACCTGGGGTTAGGGCATCAGGAGACAAGCACTTGCTTAGTATTTGGAAGGCCCCAAGTTTAATATTCAGCATCACAAACTAGTAATGGAAAACATTAAATAAATCACGTATAGACTTGTTTATGTTCGTCCATGAAAAGAAAATGATCTTGTAGCTTCATCAATATTATTCACACTCTAATATTATGTAGCAAGGTTCATACTATAAAGTTTATGGAAACATTTTTAAAGTACACCCATTAATTTATGTTCCCTCCAGTCCTATTTTAGAACTTTTAGCATGAAGGCATATTGGATTTTTTTTCAAAAGCCTTTTCTGGATCTTTTGAGATGACAGTGTAATTTTTACCCATAAGACAATTTATATGACTTATTGTGTTTGTTGACCTATGTATGTGGAACTATCCCTGCATCCTTCAGATAAATCTAACTTACTGTGTTGGATAATCTTTTTGATATATGTCTATATTTGTTTTGCATGTGTTTTTTTATTTAATAAAGTTTTATTTTTCCAAATGTACAGCTGACTGAACCTGTTTATGCATCTTCAGCAGCCAGGGCATCTCCACCCTTTGTGTTTCTGGTGTAAATTACTTGGGCTCTGTGCTTTGAAACCAGCTTGATAAATCCTTTACTAAGCAGCTCCTGAAGGGCTGCTTTGGCCAAGGACCCTCGAATCTTCAGTCTCTCAGAGACCACAGCTGGAGTAATAAGCTTATAATTGGGTACTTCCTTGCAGAGTTTGTCGTATGTAGCTTTGTCAAACAGAACTAGATTTTTGAGCTTGTCCCGAACCTTGCCTTTGGACCACTTCTTCTTTTTGGCCTTGCCACCAGACTTGTTTACTGGGTCTTTGTCTTTCTTGGCCGACTTTCCGGCATCTTTCTTCTTGTTGTCATCCTTAGGCGGCATGATGAAGCTCGGAGAGTGGCGACGACCACTGCAGCCTCCCTAAGATGTCGGAAAAAAAGCTTGCATGTGTTTTATTAAGGGTTTTTATCTATGTTCATCAGGGATATTACACTGTACTTTGTTGTTGTGTCTTTGCCTGATTTGGGTGTTAAAGTAACACTGGCTTAATAGAAGGGTTTTGGAAATGCTCCTTTAGTTCTGCAGTTTTTAATAACTTAAGTATTGGTCATGATGTTCATTGAACAGTCTTGTAGAATACTATTGTGAATCCATCTGGGCCTGGGCTTCTTTGAGTTGGAAGGCTTTTTATTACTATTTTAATATCCGTATTTGTTATAGGTTTGTACTAGTCACTTTTCTATTACTGTGATAAAATACCATGACCAAGGCAATGTATAGAAGGAAGGGTTTATTTGGTCTTATGATTCCAGAGGCTTATGATCACCATCCTGGCAGGGAGATGGCAACAGGGAGATATGGAGGCTGAAGTCACAAGCTGAGACCTTGTATTTTGAAACACAACAATGAAGCAGAATGAAAACCGGGATAGTCTTCTAACCTGTCAAAGCCCATCCCCAGGGACACACTTCCTCCAATAAGCCACATCCTCTAAGCCACCCCAAACAAAATATCAAACTGGTGACCAAGTGCTAAAGTAGATCAGTATATGGAGGGCATTCTCAGTCAAACCACCACAGGGTCTGTTGATCTCTTCTTGGTTTAAATTTAGTGAAATTCATCCATTTCTTTTATATTTTCCAATTTAATGGGATGCATGTTGTAAAAGTATTCCCTTACGTATTTTTAATTTCTTTGGTGTCTGTTGTAATGTTTCTCTGTTCATTGCTTTCTCTGTTAATTTTAATTTGTTGATCTTAATTATCTTCTCAAAGAACCAGCTCTTAGATTTTGTCCACTCCCTGTCTCCCATAAAATTGTATCATAATGAAAATTGCATTCAGTCAACACTGTTTAAAAACCCAAAGTTCAGGCATTAGTTTCTCTGAAACTCATGCAATCTCTTAACTGTAATCCCCTGTAAAATCAAAATCAAAAAGAAAATCACATATTTCCCACTTACAATGGCACAGATTATACATTACCTTTCAAAAAGAGAGGAAATGGGGCAAAGCAAGAAAATATGGGACCAAAGCAAGACCAAAAAGCAGCTGGGCAAACCCTAAATTCTCTAAATTCTGCATATCCATATCTGATGTTCAAAAGCTCTTCAAGTCTCCAACTCCTATCAGCTTTGTTGACTACAACACACTTCTCTCTCTCTTGGGTTGGGTCCACACCCACTCAGCAGCTTTCCTCAGCAGGTATCCCATGGCCTGGAGACTCTGACATTTTCTTCTGAAATACAACTACCAAAAGATGTCTTACCTGAGTTCTTCTCTCTTAAGCTTTGTATTAGGTTATACTCATACTCCAAAAGCATTGTCCTCCTGTCATATACAAAAATGTGGTACACAGAATCATGACTTTAATGTTGGTGTGAAAGCCATGCCAAACACAAATTATTAAGTGTTTCAGTTGCTATCAGTGAGTTTAGTATAGTCTTCAAAATTGTTAACTTGGATATATTTTATTAAGCTTTTAATTAGACAAGGAAATAACAAAGAAATGGTGATGAATCAAAGTCAGTACATGCACTAGATCATCTTGACAAAATGAGAAGTATCATGACCTCTGATATAGTCCTAACTCTTTAGACTTCTAAAAACCAATAAAGACATTAATGCTTTAATTCACCAAGTTACTATGAAGAGTTATCAATGTAAAAATATTAAATGAAAATAGAAAAGCAATATAATAATTTGTATCTTAACAGTGAATTTCTTTGAAAACCAAAATGAAACCTACATGTGTTTTTCTTCACAGAAACTAATGCTCCAATATTACAGCTTTCAGCAAATGTAAAATGCTACTACGTTTACTAGCTGTTCCATTATGTATGGTTTGTAGTTGGAACCTTCCCTGAGAAGTGATTTAGGTTCACACCCACCAAGAAATGTGGCTATTTGGACTATAAAGGAGCTTCTGGGTAAAGCTCATAATCCAAGAAGAGTAGAATATTTTAGCTTCTCTTACAAAATTATTGGACACTATCTGATTTTTTGGAGTGGTCACCACACGCATTTGATGGAAGAATAGCAAAAATCCTCTTAGGTAATCAATCATGAAGGTCTAGGCCCACATGTTGACTGCAAATAGAGGTTGTGAATGTATGGGAAGGGTCAGTTTACTGTCAATTGTTAAGGGTAAAGCTAAGACTCCTAGCTGTTAAAGTAGAGCACTTTTAGAATAATATCTGTCTTAGTTAGGGTTTTTATTGCTGTGAAGAGACACCATGACCATGGCAACTCTTTTAAAGAAAACGTAATTGGGGTGGCTCATTTACAGTTTCAGAGGTTCAGTCATTTATCATCATGATGGGGAACAAGGCAGCATGCAGTCAGATGTGGCAAACTGAGAGTCCTACACCTTGCATGCATTATGAAGTCAACCAACTGTCACACTGAGGAAAGCTTGAACAAAAGAGACCTCAAAGCCCACCCTCACAGTGACACACTTCCTCCAACAAGGCCATACCTCCTAATAGTGCCATTCCCTTTGGGAGCCATTTTCTTTCAAACCACCACAATATCCTAACTTAAAATGAATATATGAAATGAAGACAATGTTCTAATGATTATATGAATATTACCACAAAAAATCAAGGATCTGAATCTATAAGGGAAATTGAGGGATAGCTATTAATCATTACTGAACTGTAGGATCCACTAATAGCAAAGCTGTAACAACAGAAATCACTAAGGAAAAAAGGATATGACTAGAACATCATCTAGTTGAGTCCCTTGTACTTACAGAACTAAAAATTCCTGGAATTTTAAGTACCAGAGAGTAGGAGAAAGCTTTTAGGGATTTTCTGCTAAAATGAACATTATAAGACTAAATCAAACAATCAAAAAAATCAAGATGTGACAGTGTATCTGATGCACAAGGGTTATATTTGGAACGAAATGGAGCACTCTGGAATCCCTAACTTCAAACTCTTGACACTGAGGTTAAGGATGTAACTCAATGGCAGAATATTTGCTTTATCCCAACATTGTTAAAAATCAAACATGTCTTGGGATTAAAATTCCACGCACCCATTTCTACTTCTAAATAATCCATCATTTTCCTTGGTTTCTAGATGATAAAGTGGACAAATTCTCTTCCATTTCAAAACTACCTAAACCAAAAATGAAATCTCACCTCATATAGTTATTTGAAACAATTAATATTAATTAGAATTACTTACACCTCCCGATCACCTTCAACAGCGTAGCGTAAAGCAGTCCATCCAAACAAATCTTTAAAATTCATGTCAACACCTTGTTGAAGAAGAAGGTTGACCATAACTGAAGAATCACATCTTACAGCATACATGAGAGAATTTCTAAGATAAAAATAACTTCAGTTATAGATCATAATATAATTATTTGAATGATTATTGAATATACTTTACCAAATAGCTTTTTAAAATTATTAATAGACGTAAGTATTGGGGGCAGCCATTAGTCAACACTGCAAGTTATCTTCAAAGCTAAAAAGAAAAAAACACTCTGGTAGACTCCTTTCCCACTATTCTATCACCTAATAAGATTCCCAATTTAATATTATCTGATGGACAACTATGTTAATAAGGAAAACTTATCTGAAGTACATCAAGATTACAAGACTTCTCCATTTCTTCCATAAATCAGTGTAGTATATTGGATTTATACTCATGCTAAGTAAGTCAAATACTTGTGTGATTAATAAAAGTAACAACATAAAATGATAGTGATAAAATAATGGCAAAGATAGTTATGGTACTTTCAGTTAATAATGCTGATTACCACTGATGGGCACTGAGGTAAAACATATATTAATATTTTTTCAGACAGGGACTCAATATGTTTGTTTTGCTTTATAGGTCAGGCTGACCTCAAACTGCTGCTGTATCGTGAGTGATAGAATTAAAGGTATATGCTACCACAGCCAGCTCCCACATGAATGATCCTATAACCACTCTTTAAGCATATTATTACTTCTTATGTATTAGGTATATGTTTTTCTGGTTTAGCCACACACAGCACTGGGAAGCAATGTCAGTCAAAATCTAAGGGAACTTGCTATCATTAGTCTGGCAACAGATGACATCATCCATATGGCACTGGCAAAAAGAATGCAAGAGTTATGTAATTATGGGAATATAGACCAAGGTTTCAAGAAGAAAAATAAAGCCATGAGGCCAGGAAATGAGGAATAGGCTGAAATTTCCTGCATAGAGCTCGTAATTGAGTTATATGTTGTGTTGTGGATGGAATTCTAACTTACAATGGAGACCTAGGGGCTGTTCGAGATGTTAGATACACAGGAATCCTTGGGAGGAGATCTCCCACATTCTCCCAATCATGGAGATAATATATCTTGATTTCCCTGACATGACAGATGATACATTCTGAGGACATGAGCCAAAATAAACCTTCCCTCCATTAATTTCCCTCTGGCCTTATGTCATGCCTAATAAGTAATAAACAATTATTCAAAACAATTCTGTATAATAAAGGAACTTCAGGAGGCATCACCATTCCTGACTTCAAGCTCTACTGTAGAGCCATAATCCTGAAAACAGCTTGGTACTGGCACAAAAACAGACAGGTAGACCAATGGAATCTAATCAAACATCCTGTTATTAATCCACACACCTACGAATGTTACCGGTAGTTTTCCTGCTAGCCTGGTCCCATAGCTCCGTCAGCCCCAAATAACACAGGGACACTGTATTAAATATAATGCTGTTGGCCTGTTACTAGCATTTCTTATTAACTAGCTCTGTCTTAAATATTAACCCATTTCTATTAATGTGTTTCCACGTGGTCTTATCTTACAGGAGAGAGGGTCTAGACCTTCTTTTTAAGTCTTGAATCTCCTCTACTACATCTACCAGAATCCTCCTTGTCTCCTAATCCCACCTAACTTGCCTTCCTATTGGCCAACAGTGCTTTATTCATTAACCAATAAGAGAAACATATTTACAGAATGACATCTCCCATTATATAAACACCTGATTTTTGACAAAACAGTTAAAAATATACAATGGAAGGAGGAAAGCATCTTCAACAAACAGTGCTGGCACAACTAGATGGTGTGTGTAGAAGACTGCAGATAGACTCAGGTCTATCACCATGTACAAACTTAAGTCTAAATGAATCAAAGACCTCAACATAAATCCAGCCACACTGAACCTCTTAGAAGAGAAAGTAGGAGGTACCCTTGAACAAATTGTTACAGGATACCACTTCCTGAACATAACACCAGTAGCAGAGACACTGAGATTGACAATTAATAAATGGGACCTCCTCAAACTGAGAAGCTTCTGTAAAGCACACAGTCAACAAGACCAAACAGCAGCCCACAGACTGGGAAAGGATCTTTAACAATCCCACATCTGACAGAGGGCTTATCTCCAAAATATACAAAGAACTCAAGAAACTAGTTATCAAAACACCAGATAATCCTATTAATAAATGGGGTACAGAACTGAATAGAGAATTCTCAATAGAGGAATCCAAAATGGCTGAAAGACACTTAAGAAGGTGCTCAACATCATTAGCCATCGGGGAAATGCAAATCAAAACAACTCTGAGATACCATTTTACTCCTGTCAGAATGGCTAAAATTAGAAACACCAATGACAGATTATGCCAGAGAGGATGTGGAGAAAGGGGAACACTACTCTACTGCTGGTGGGAGTGCAAACTCGTACAGCCATTTTGGAGATCAGTATGGCGGTTTCTCAGGAAAATGGGAATCAGTCTACCATAGGACCCAGTAATTCCACTCTTAGGCATATACCCAAATGATCCACATCCATGCAACAAAGACATCTGTTCAATTGTGTTCGTAGCAACATTATTTGTCATAGCAAGAACCTGGAAGCAACCTAAATGCACCTCATTTGAAGAATGGATAAAGAAGATGTGGTACATTTACACCATGGAATACTACTCAGCGGGGGATCTGGGGGGACCAATGGAATCTTGAACTTCTGGATGGAATTTGAAGAAACCATCCTGAGTGAGGTAACCCATTCACAAAAAGAGGAACATGATATGTACTCATTCATATATGGATTTTAGACATAGAGCAAAGGATCATCAGCCTATAATGCACACCGCCAGAGAAACTAGGATACAAGGAGGAACCTAAGAGATTCATACAAGGCCCCTCACAGAAAGGGAAAGGAACAAGATCTCCTGAGCATATTGGGAGTGGGGGGCAGTGAGTGGAGAAGGAGTTAGGAAAAAGAGAAGGGGAAGAGAAGAGAACATGTGGGACTAGGAAGACTGAGTTGGGGGATGAATAGACAAGAGCAAAAAAGAGATAACCATAATAAAGGGAGCCATTATAGGTTTGAAGAGAAAACTGACTCTAGAGAAATGTCCAGAGAACTACAAGGATGACCCCAACTAACAAACTGAGCAACAGTGGAAAGGCTACCTTAAATGCCCTTCCCTGATAATGAGATTGATATCTAACGTATATGCCATCATAGAGCCCTCATCTAGTAGCTGATGGAAACAGAAGCAGACACCCACAGCTAAACACTGAGCCAAACTCCTGGAATCCAGTTGCAGAGAGGGGGAAGTGATAAGAAAAGCGGTCAAGACCAAGGCTACAGAAACCCAGAAACAGCTGACCAAAACAAGGTGGAGCTCATGTACCCCCAGACTGATAGCTGAGAAACCAGCATTGGATCAACTCAGATCCCTGAACATGGGTCTCAGTTAGAAGGCCAGGGTAGTCTAAGAGACCTCTGACAGTGGAACCAGGATGTATCCCTGGTTCACGAAAGGACTTTGGGAGCACATTCCTCAAGGATGGATACTCCCTTACCCTAGAGGCAGGACAGGGGTGGGGGCCTAGACCCTACTTCAAATGACTTGACAGATTTTGATGATCCCTCCTGGAAGGCATCACCCTCCCTGTGGAGTGGGTGGGGAATGGGAGGTAGAGGGAACTGGGATTGATATGTAAAATAAGAAAAATAATAAATATATTAAAAAAAGAGTTTTCTAAAGAAAAGTGTATCAAAGCAAAATTAATACATTTCAGATAATATAAGATCATATGTACTAATATTGGATTAAAATTGGGGAAATCAATCAATATTGATAAAATAGTATGAACCCTACTATATATTATTCACTTTGAATTATTGAATTTCTAAGCTAGGTGTGGTAGCTCTTGCCTTTAATTTCAGCCCTCATGAATCAGAGGCAAGTAGATATCTGCAGTCAAGAACAGCCTGATCTATAGGTTGAGTACTAGGACCCTGTCTTGTGGGGGGGAGCAATTCTACCTAACAGATATATATGTTTGGTTTTCGATATATTCCCATAAGTTAATTGTATTGTTCCTATTAATGTAATATTTTTATGTGCATGGTTGTCTCCATTTTAGAATAACATTAAAGGGTATTGTAAATTAAATGACTCTACCTTCTCTGAGAATCAACTGCATGTACACTTGCTTCCATCTTTACTAAAAATTGTGCCATCTTCAGTCTGTTTTCCCTGAGAGCAAGCAATAGTGGTGTGAGGTTATCCTGTAAAACAAAAAATAAATAAATAAACTTACATGTTGCAAAGATTCAATGGGCATAAACTTATTAAACAGGCAGAGTTTTAAGATTTGGGCTAGAGATATAAGGATAAAGGAGAGTGTGTTTTAAAAGCCATCCTTTCCTTTTCACCCTTTCATGCATGCTATACATTCTCTTCAAAATGTTGCCCCTTGCCTACAGTTGTAACATGAACCCTACTCCTCTGCAAACCTCACTTGAAATAGTTTTGCTTCTATGAACTTTGCTCCCTTTATTCAATTTATGTTGGTATTTTGGAGTCATGTAATCACTCCCATCTAAACCCCAATGTTCTTGAGGGGAGGGACTATACCTTTATCTCAACCACCCAATCACAGACACAATTGCAAAGATTCCCCTTGATTTATTAGATTACTGAACTAAATTGTCATGTCTACAGTCAAAAAAAAATCCATTGCAGAAGTACCATGCTGCAACAGGAAAATTTTATGATCAGTTATTTACTGCTCTAGTCAGTAGGGGAAACCTGGGAGAACAGGGCCTAAAAATTAAGACTAAAGTCTCATGCAACTGCCAACTATATTCAGAGCATCAGACAATTTATAGCATGAGTAAGGTGTTCAATCACAAGGACAAGCCACACATGGCAAAAACATGTTTTTCCACAAAGGAAAATGAATAACAACACCTGAAGCAAACTTATTCCAATCGGATACACCTAGATGGAACATGAAAACACATTCCCAGAACAATTCTGTATTTTGAAGAAGCTGTGGTCATAAGATTCTTGTCCTTTTTTTTCTTGAAGTTTTCTCACATGCACTCAGAATTCTTGAATGACTCCATTCTTGGACTATGTTCCAACAATTGCAAAATATGAAAACACCATGTAGTGTATGTAACTTTAGTTTTGGCTTATTTCTCAATTGGCAATGCATTTTGAGCCAATCATTAATTAGCATGTGAAGAAGTGGGTTGAGGAAAGTGTTAAGATTTTTCTAAGACACTACCTTCAGGTCATGAGGACACCTTGCGAATATGAAAGCAAGTTTTCAGAAAGCAGCTATACCTTCCACTCAACCTTCTGCAAGGCTAATTTGTCTTGGTGATACATTATTTATGGTTTATTAAAGCTTGCCTGAGGATTCAGAAAGCAAAGTCAGTCACAAGCTGCAGAGGTCAGGCAGTGGTGAAACACACCTTTAATACCAGGACTCAGAATACACTACAGAAATTAATGTCTAGCATCTTCAAAAAGACTTTAAATACTTCTTAGTAAGTAATCTGTGAGTTTTATGATATTATAAGTTGAAGAATGTCTTAACTGTTAGAAAGTTCAGTACAAATGTTTTCTCAAATTTAACAATAATACTGCAACCCTAGTACTACTCTCTTGTTGGGTTCAGGTTCTTACTTGTAGCCTAGGATTGACTGAACTCATGCTTCATGTTTACTATGACTCTAATTACTATTTACAGTTACTTTTCATGAGCCATAAATTAAAGTCAATGACTTCTCAATGAAATTCCAATATTGATATAGATACATAGATATATAATTTATAACATCACAAACACCACTAAATCACTCATACTGTGGAAGAGAAAAAGTGTTGCTTGCAATATGCCCACCTTGTCTGTCTAGATTGTATAATTAACCAACAAGACCTACAGATATTCCTATGGGAATTTCATTACTTATATGGGGGTGCCCATAAAGATGGCTACATCTTGGCACAAGGACAGAGAGTTCAAAGCTGTCAGCAAGTCATGGTCTTTCTTGGATGGCATTGAAATCTTCTGAGAGCTAGCCTCCCCACGTAGGTGTCTGTCTGGATCCTCCGAAGCTTCCCAGTGTACAAGACTCAGCCTTTCCAAATGATGGGTTTCACTCTGTGTGTCAGATCAAAGCTCATGATTCACCCCTTCCATAGCCTTTCCCTCTTCCTACATATCTCTCAGGCTCAGTTCTCCTTCCCTTCCCCTGCCCCCCCCCACTTACTCAGCCATAACTCAGCATTTATGCAAGTGGCTTTAAAATAGGAGGGTCACAACTATTCTTGTCTCTACAGCAAAACTCTTCAAGGAATCTCAGTTTTCACTGTCTGCCCAGACTATCCTTTGAAGCTGAGGCTCCCCCACTCATATCTCTTTGTCTTCAAACTTCTCTCTGTGTGCAGGCAAAAGTGATATCAAGCCCTTACTTTAATTGTGTTTTGAGGGCTGGAGAGATGGTTCAGCAGTTAAGAGCACTGGCTGCTCTTCCAGAGGTCCTGAGTTCAATTCCCAGCAACCACATAATGGCTCACAACCACCCATTATGAAATCTGGTGCCCTTTTCTGGCCTGCAAGCATATGTGCAGACAGAACATTGTGTCCACAATAAATAAATAATTTTTTTTAAAAATAGTGTTTTTACATAATTGTTCATTTACCCAGACCTCCTATCTTATTTAAGTCAAGTTTTCATGTTTAAAAAGATTCAAGTGTTTTCCCCACCTTAACATTCAAATGTTCTCTCTGTTTGTGTAAAAGAATTTTTTATTCAGTATAATTTGAGTGAAAGAGATATAATTCTAAATAAACAACAATAAAACCCCTCAGTTTGGAGACACCCACATTTTAAACTCATAGTTAATACCTGAGCCAAATGTTTCCTACTTATAATATCAAATAGGCCAAATTGATTAGACAGCCACTCCATTAGCATTAACTACTTTACTACAGTAGGAGTGCTTATCCAGCTTAAATTAAAGCAGAGTCTCTCTCATCTGTTATCTTTACTCCTTTCAGAAATTATGTCCTTAATTATTCTAATGCTAGATATAACATTTCTGTTCTATCAGATACATAGGACAAAATTAACTAATTAAACCTGGATAATAATATGGCTAATAGATAGTAGGATCCAGAAGTGTCTTCCTTAGTAACCTTTGATAATTATTTCTTTCTCCTGAAGATCTGCCATCCTGATGTTGCAGCCTTATCAGATTCCAGGAGATGTTACTGACTACGGTGGGACATGAGCTGCCATGGTTCCAAGCCAGGGCTTCCAAAAGCAACTACATCTGTTGGAACTTTTTACAAGCTATACCCTTCCTAGTACATCCCTAATTGTGGAGAGTTAGAATGTTAGAAGTCCAAAGGCAAAATTATATTGGGCCTTTTAAAAGTCCAATCTGTATTTACCTGCCTTCCCCATAGGAAGACCCCCTATTTCCCATTTTCCCTATCAGGTCACTTGATTCCTGCTACTCCCCTTTACCATCCTCCCACCTTCTTCTATATATCCACAAATAAGTGTAGCCTTCATATTGCACCAAAGAAACTTCTCATATTTGCAACAGACAGAAAACCACAACCAATCAAAATGCGGAGTTGTGTAGCTCAGTCCCAATGGATACATCTACAAAATACTTCCACACTTGAGGCTCAGGGAGCATTGCTGTAGACAGAGAAAAAAGATTTTAAGAGCCAAGAGGACCAGGGAGTTTTATGTGAGACTGTCTCCTAGTAACATCTGAAGCTGTACTCATAAAATTCCACCAACATGACTGCCCAGAATCTGACCTGAACAAGGATAACAACAATGAACATGCCAAACTGGAAGGGGAAAAGCTCAAGAGGCCTCAACCCAACACAAACAACTACAGACAACTGAATAAATCTGGGGGTGGGGGAGGTGGTCCTCCTCAGGAAGAGCATACCCATTGGATGCTCGGTGCCAAACAGGCAGCCCTAAAAACGTATATACACATGAACTCAACAGATTATGTTTATGAGTATATATGTAATATATTTATATTCATATATGTAATGACAATTAATGAAAAATGGGCCATAAATTTGAATAAGAATGGGAGGGTACATGTGAGGGTTTAGAAGGAGGAAAAGAAGTGCTGTAACTAAGTTACAATCTCAAAAATAAACAACTAACAACAGAAATAGTCAACTCTATTACCTCCCTCTGCAAATGACACCATGGTATTGTGATAAATATTCAAAAGCTATTTGGATTAACTTTAAGAATAGCAACCCTACTAGGACAAATCTTTATTCTCGGTCTTCCTCACAACCTCTTCACAAATCTCAATGATCCCCTTCTCTCAGTAATTTCAACTTAAAATGAACTGAAAGCTCTTCTTAGATTTCCTTTAATATCTGTCTTGATTCTGTATCTACAGATTGAGCTCTGAATCTGTATGCTGGTCATCCACTGTACTCTTCTGCACATTACTTGGACTCAATAACATCCTCCTAGGAGTGAATGCAGATGCCAGTCTTTGTTCTAGAGGCTAATACCTGACTACCCATGAGAGAAGATGAAATTCCTCCCTGGAGCTTCATCCCTGTTCAACTGTTCAACTCAGTTAGATGGAGGTGCCAACCATCGCTTGAGTCTCCTCCTTCATCTCCTTTTTCTGTAAAGTCACTTTTCTGTGTTTGGGTTTTTTTTTTTTTAATAAACAACAGGCTGGGCTGTAAGAATGTAATGCTATAGTCTACCTGCTGCCCAGGCTACAGTACTTTCCAGTAGCTCTCCCTGTCACAGGTCTCCTCCCCTATCTTGAGTCCCTAGTGAAGAGACTTGCTGGTCCCAGGATCTTCACCTAGGAAGTGAGTTTATATCAAAGAGGACATTGCTGGCCACAATTCATTCTCCCCACCCTCTTCCCTGCCTCCTGCCTTTGGATCAGAGAGTCTGGTGGCAAGCTTACACCGAGAACTCTCCCATCCTCAATAAAACATAAGAGACTCACTCACATCTTCATCAGAGGGATTCCTCTTTTCAGAGACCACGCTATGCCCATGGTGCTGAGGTCTGAATTCTTATTCGAGACCCACCATGTTCTTGCCTCTCTATCTGTCCATGGCGTTACTAAATTCTAATAAATTCCTTACTCCACAGTAATCTGTTCTAGTCCCTCTTGAACACCTTGAAACCTCTCAGTTAGATAGTCACCATACCTCTCAATGAAAAATATTAATGAAACATGGAGTGTGTGCTGTAAAGCATGCCACCTGGCACGTTTGTAACTCAGTAATATCCTTTCTCAAACTAGGCAAAATTATCCCCAACTGAAGAATACCCTACCCATACAAAAAACTAGGGAAATGCAAACAATTAGCAAAGTCTTGCTGGCATTATGTGTTGATTACACCACTTTAAAATTGGCTTAAATATTTCTAATCAATTTCTGTTTCCATTATTCTCCCATTTGCACTACCATGACTAGATAGAACCTGTCAACAACATTGTTTCAGTTTTAAGATGGTACTTATTTGCAAGGCTAATATTACTTTATTGTGTTGATTCTTAATTTTTACCAAAATATGTTATTTAAATTACTGGATAAAGCACAGACCTCCTTTAACAAATTCAGTGTTTTCTCATACATTTGCCTTGAGTTTACAGTAGAAAGCTTCTCCTTCCAAAGTACCAATACTTAAAATGATTTCCCTTCCAAATGTCTAAGTATTTTCATTCTAAACTTACTCACTGAGGGTGATTATCCCTGCACACATCACAGGTGTTTCTAAGCAGAATGATCCTTACTTTGGTTCTTTCCTCAATATTTGCTCCATACTGTAGAAGCCTGGCAGCCATTGTTGGTGTCCCACCATACACTGCATAGTGGAGAGCAGTGTTACCACTGCTGTCTTTAATGTGCAGGTTAGCATGACGCTCTAGCAGATAACACACGATATCCTCTTCCCAGCTTTGGACAGCCTGGAGGGATTTTAACAAGAAGTACATGATCAACTCAAAGAATTTACGATACACACTCAATGGGTTTCACCAATTAATTATATTTACATGAGGTAAATTCATTTTTCCTTAAAAGCGTCTCATGCTTGAAATGATGGCTATGATCTACCTTCATCAGTGGTGTGATGTTATGTTTGTCACACACATTGATCTCACATCCACGCCTCCAGAGGTAATTCACCATTTCTAGATGTCCATAGAAACAGGCAAAGTGCAGGGCATTCCTATAGAGAAATTACAGTGCACTATCTCAATATACACAAGAATTCATGTAATCAAAACTGTTATATAGCATACTGTGCATGTGCCTTCTAAACAAATATGTAACATTCTTCTAAAGAAATTTCTTTTCCCTTGTAAAATTTCTTCCAACACACACACACACACACACACACACACACACACACACACACACACAATCTGCTTCATTTGCAGTAAGCCTCATTTAAAATTTCAAGATATAGAACACAAACCCTTTGCCAGAATGTAACACAAATGACTAGTATTCCAATTCAAGACAGACCCTTTGTTTCCAAGTCTCCTTGGTCAGCCTTTTCCTATCTGTTTCACTTGGCATGCTGTTTTCTGTACTTGGAGTAGGATGGGTCATTAACCTCTGCTCACAGCATTCTTCTCTAACACTCAGCTACAAACTTGTCCACATTCCTACCACAAAGCAGGTCTTATGCCCTATAAGCCACATCCTCATGGTGGCATTCAGGAAACAGAGAAGAGACTGGAACCAACAACCAACCACCAGAAACTTCTGTCTATAAGGTTCTATAACTTCCAAAAAGAGCTACCATTTAAAGACAAGATGCTCAAATACATGAGTCTATGGGGAGGGGGTTTACATTCAATCCTACTCTAAGCTCTGTTACCTACAGGCTATTTCTTACCCTTTCTGGGCTTCATTTCTGTTCTGATAAAATAGAATATTGTGATGCTCCATTGAAAATGTATACAAAGCTTTTTGGATGAAGGAAGGAGATAGTTTCTACTTGATAGAAATAATCTTGGTGAAAATAGAACATCAGCAACCTAGTAACCCACTGGGAGAGAGAGCTTCAGCAACAAGGGACCTGGCAGGGGAGAGCATCAGAGGCCAAGCAGCCTGGATGCACTGACAGCAGCAGCTTCCACAAACTATCTTTACAAGTGCCTCTGGGAGCTGGGGGTGGATGCCCTTAATCCCAGCACTTGGAAGGCAGAGACAGGGAGATCTCTGTGAGTTCAAGGCCAGCCTCGTCTACAAAGCTACACAGAGAAACCCTGTCTTGAACCTCCCCCCTATCAAAAAAAAAAAAAAGTGCCTCTGGGAAAGAGCACATGTGTACCAGCCAGCATTCGGTGCCATTCTCTGTATGAGATACCCAGGTTAATCATCAACCACTGGAGACTCAGACCCACCTGCACATTAAGGAACAATCACCAGAGCAGTAGCCCTGCCTGCACCTGGAGGAGCTTGAATCAACAGAGCTACAGCCCTCAACTGTACCAATTGGAGTGTAAGAGGGAGGGAGAAGGTGGAAGAGGGAAGGGGAGGGAGAAAAGTGGTGAGATGCACTTGAGGGAATGGGATGGTCAAGTTGGGGTAAGGACAGAGAGAAAGATCAAGGAAAGAATTATCTTGATAGAGAGAACCATTATGGGATTACTGAGAAACTTGGCACTAGGGAAATTCCCAAGAGTGCATAAGGATGACCCCAATTAAAACTCTAAGCAATAGTGGAGAGAGTGCCTGGAGTAGCCTTCCCTCATAATCAGATTGCAGACTATTATAATTGTCATTGAATTTCCATCCAGTAATTGATGGAAGGAGATGCAGAGATCCACAACTTCCCACTGGGAGACCATTTGAAGAGAGGGAAGAGTGATATGAGCAAGACCAGGATGGGATGGGAAAACCCACAGAAACAAGTGACCCAAGCTAGTGGGAGCTCACTGACTCTGGACTGACAGCTGGGAAACCTGCATAGGGCTGAACTAGGCCCCATGAATGCAGGTGACAGTGGATGGCTGTTAGTGGGATCACTGGCAGTGGAACCATGATCTATCCCTAGTGCATGAACTGGCTTTTTGGAGCCCATTTCCTATGGAAAGATACCTCGCTCAACCTAGACACATGGGAGAGAGCCTTAATCCTACCTCAACATGGTGATGGGACAGATTTTGTTGACTCCCCATGGGATCCCTTACCCTCTCATAGGAACAAAATGGTGGTGAGGGGAGGGGAGTAGAAGGAGAGAGAGGGAGAACTGGGATTAGTATATAAAATACAAATAAAATAAAAAATGTATACAAAGTAATTAAGAATGTTTTACTCATGCTAGATATCATATTAGTTCAATTTAACATATGTAGTATTTCAGGTAGGTGCAGCCACATTAAGATACTGGAACTGGTTGGGCATTGGTAGCACATGCCTTTAGTCCAGAGGCAAGTGGATTTCTGTAAGTTCGAGATCAGCCTGGTCTACAGAGAGAGTTCCAGGACAACCTTCAAAGCCTCAGAGAAACCCTGTCTCGAAAAACAAAACAAAACAAACAACAAAAGATGCTGAAACTGGAATACCCTTCTGTTTTATAATTGGTAGTAATGTTTACATTTTTATTAGTACTCAAAATCCTGAGTCAGAACACAATCTTATATTCAATGAGCCCATTGCAATCTAGCCATGGCATTTGCATTTAATACATTTTACTTCTTACAAATACAATAAGAACAGCAATAACAGTACCAAGAGTCAAGCACATAGTAATCAGGGCTTCGGTTTCAAAAAAAAATTTTAAGCCAAAAGAAAGGAATTGCAAGAGTCAAATAAGGAAATATGGTTTATTTTAGTCAACATTGCTAGTCTGGGCAAAGAAACATGCAGTTTTCAAAGAGAGATGGACCCTGAATAATAGCAGTATGTACACAGTAGATATTCAAGTTAAGTCTGGAGACTAAACTGGATTGAGAATAGGAGAATAAAGTTATGTTTCTATGAAAGAATTTTATTTTCATTATTATGATCAGTGTCTAGTTTGGGTTTTTATTCCTGTGACAAAACACCATGACCAAAGCAACTTGAAGAGTATGATGGTTTGGAAAAAAAAAAAAAAAAGGGGCCCCAAAGAGAGTGGCACTATTAAGAGGTATGGCCTTGTTAGAGGAGGTGTGGTTTTGTTGGAGGAAGTGAGTCACTGCGGAGGCGGGCTTTGAGGTCCCATTTATCCTCAAGCCATGTCCAGTCAGACAGACCACTTCCCATTGCTTGTGAGTCAAGATGTAAGAACTCTCAGCTCCTTCTCTAGCACCACGTCTGCCTGCATGCTGCCATGCTTCCCACCATGATGATAATGAACTAAACCTCTGAACTGTAAGTGAGCCACCCCAACTAAATGCTTTCCTTTATAAGAGTTACCATGGTCATGGTGTCTCTTCATACCAATAGAAACCCTAACTATGACAGGGAGGAAAGGGTTTATTTGGCTTACACTTCCACAGCAGTATTCATCAATGGAGGAAGTCAGATAAGGAATTCAAACAAGGCAGGAACCTGGAAGCAGGAGCTGATGTAGAAGCCAAGGAGAGGTGCTCCTTACTGGCTTGTTCCTTATAACTTGCTCATCTTGGGCTCACTAGCCCAGGAATGTCACTATCCACAATGAAGCCCATCAGTCACTAATTAAGAAAACTCCCTACCGCCTGATCTTATGAAGACATTTTCTTAATTGAGATTCCCTCCTCTCAAATGACTTTAGCTTGTGTCAAGTTGACATAAAACTATCCAGGGCAATCAATCTACAATTATTTGCATGTGTACATTTATATAAAGTAAAAGCATTCTCAATAATATTTATACAATATAAGAATCTGTAAGTACAGTAAATACTTAAGTCTCTTCAGAAGAGCCTCAGTATTGACAGAAAGTATCAACACATATTATACACACAAAATTAAAAGAAAGTGAAATTTTCATCTGTTCATGAACAGTCCTACTCTTCAAAAGATTATTTGAAGGAATAACAGAAGTGCATACTGCACCATTACAAACCAACCACACAGGAGTCAGTGCCAACATTAATGTAGATTGTATTCTGCATCACTGAAAATAAGCTAGAGAGTAATAAAAAGATGGTCAGAAATCCCCAAGTGTTCAAATTAACATTTAAGTAGTAAAATGGGGAAAATGCAATTGTAATTAAAATGCTTGAAAATAATACATTATATTTTTACACATAGCTTGCTAATAAAAATCCACAATCAATGTTTATGTGGCTATAATTAAACTGAGTTGCCACCTAGCATAACAAGCTATATCTGACTATGCTAATATTCACTATGCCTTTTTTAAAGGTGAAATATTCTTTCCAATGTAATTTATTAAATAACTGTGTTCTTCTAATGGTTTGATATTTTAAGGCATATTGATAAAAACAAAGTGTTATGCTTTTTTTTCCTTACTAGAACCAAGAGGTAGATTGTGACAACTTTTTTTTCCTATTTTTTTTATTTATTATTTTACATCCAATTCCCTCTCCTTCCCTCCCTCGATTGTGTACAACTTTTAAATACAGCAGTTGGAACAAGTACACTCAGCCACCTTCCCATTTCAGGTCCTTAAACACACACATCAGTTATATGTTTGTGTACATATATATTTATATATACATATTACATATATTCCATCTAATATATATCATATGTAATGGTTATTGTATTTTATCTGAAGAATTTTTAGGTTTGAAAGTATTACATTATGAAGAATATTCCTTTTGTCTTTCACTTTACTCAATGTATTTAACATTGTATTCTTAATGTGTACACTAAGATAAAATGTGATTTAGTTTTGTTAACACTTTTAAATAATCTGTTGACTTTCTATCTATGAGGCTCCTATGGGAAGGGAAAGCAACCAGAATCCTTTCCTTGTGTTGGCTGGTTCATGGGCCCCTTTCCCAGGTGCGCCTGTGGTGCCAGGGAACAGAGCTGGGGTCTCCCCATCCTGTTCTTGTTTTGGGAGCCAGTAAAGGTGTCTTCTCCTACACCAGCCCTCGCCCAAGTCTAAAAGCCCTCTTACCTATTCTCCTTGTCTCTGTGATTGACTTCGTACTTCCCCAGAGTGAAGTACAGTCGCACAAAAGGTAAATCTCCCGCACATGCTGCCATGTGTAGATCATTGTCAGGAAAGTATGCCATGTCTAAATACGAAGGATTCTGAGTACCAAAGCACAGGTTGTTTCTCCGTGCCTTGATATCGCAGAAACCCAAGGGTGTCTCTTCAAAACTCTTTTTCTGATCGCAACAGAGCACAGAGAAGCCTTGGGAACCTCCAGGCCTCTTCTCTCCCCCTCGGCTGCACTTTCCTCCCATCTCAGGCACGGTTATAGCAAGCCAACCGTTATCCGCCCCAGTATCAACCAACGTTATTATAACAAGCTGACCCTCTCCATCTCGTATCAAATTATAAGCCCACCCCTCCTGATTCAAATATTTTCATTTGTCTTAGACTAGCCAAGTCTCCCCAGCATCCTCTCAAGTCAGTCCCTGGTTTACTGTCTACCAACTGGAGACAGTTAACAGGACGGCTGCTGTCAAGCCATGCCGGTGGACACAAGTATGCAAGAGTGTGCAGAATGCGGAGCTATGTGCATGCGTCTAAAGCCAATGAAGATCAATGCGCATGTGCAGAGTCCAGCCTGTCAAATCTCTGCAGAACAGACCTGCAAAGCTTCAAATACGAAGCTGGAGGTATGTCTCAGTTTTAGGAGTGTGTATTGCTTTTGCAGATGGACCTAGCTTAGTTTTCAGTGCCCACCACAGGTGACTCATAAACCTGTAGCTCCAGAGAATCCAACACCTTTTTCTGAACTGTAGGCACCTATACTCACCCGTGCCCATTCTTTAACACACATAACTAAAAATAAAATCTTTTTAAATGTCATTATCAGAGTGCTGGACGACTATTGGTCATTTGCTCAAGGCTGACTTGCAGTCATAGCAAAGCAGTCCTCGTATATGGCTGTAGAAAGGGGAGAAAGACTAAGAATTCCAAAAGCCTGACCTTCAAGATAATCTCTCCGAAGAGAACAGATTTACTTACTTGTTTGTTTGCTGAGACGGGGTTTCTCATGTGTAACAGGACTGGCTGTCCTGGAACTCACTCTGTAGACCAGGCTGGCCTTGAACTCACAGAGATCTGCCTGCCTCTGCTTTCCTAGAGCCAGGATGAAAGGTGTCCACCATCACCACCTGGCAAGAACACTCTCCTAATTTCTAGTATTTTCCACATCCCATGGGTCCCTGCAGGTCTGTGTGCGAATTCAACAATGGAACTAACAGTCTGTTCTCATGGTTTCAGAGATGTGTAAGTACAAACTTTGAAAAAAAAAAAAAAACAAAACAAAACTAATGTACATCCCATGCAAAATAACTAATGCAAACTTCCTAGTCTCTTTTGCCCTGACTTCATCTTTGTTATCCCTAGTTTAATCCTATTTTCTTATAAACTCTGCAATAATTCCAAGACTTGTTTTGGAAAGCACTATAATTTCTTGGTCTTTTTAATTAACCATTTTCTTGTCCCAACCCATCTTTTCTCACTGTTATAATTTTGTATTCATTGGCTTTTCAGGTCCCAAACGCTACCTGGCTCAGGCTCCTGACATCTCCCCTTGTCCTTTTTTTTCTCCCTCCCAAAACAGCTAATCTTCCCCTTCTCTTCCTCTTCCTCCCCAAACTTCCTGTCCACCCTGAACAAGCACACCCCCTCCAGCAGCACTATCAGCTTCTCAACAAACAAAATGAGTCCTTTCATAAAGCACATGACTAAGGGACGCATCATGTTTGTCAGCTTTGACAGTAGCTCAGGCATATGACATGCTGCGAAGAATGCTTTGATAAACCCATTTTTAAATTCTGTAAACACACAGAACTCCAAATCCCTGTCTCCTTTCCCAACACTACTTCAGTTCACTGCTGAAGAGCCACTTGAGGTCAGAGCTCCTGAAGTTTACCCCACCCCTGCCCCAGCAGTGTTGCAGGTACCCAATTAACATGTGCTCTGGTTCTGCTTTCAGCTCAGTGATCTGTACCCTGTACCTTCCCCCAGATCACTCCTGATGGCAGGAATTCCTCTCAGCTTTGTGCAATGCTATGATCTGTGTGTGTGAGGGCTGCTGAACATTATCTTGTGGGTATCAATGTGAACCTTCTTCGTATTGGTTCACATGCTCTGAAAAACTGAATTATATTGGATTTAAAAGTCTTATTCGTTTTGCTCTCTTAAACCCTCTACCACCTATTTTTTTTTTCTTCAGGAAAAAAATACAATAAAAATGCATTAGCATTTTACACTGTATAATTATAATACCAGTGTGTAATTTGGGAACACATGCTCTGACATACAGTCCTGAACAGGTTGAAGATATTTTCTAATGAGATAAACTCAAAAAACAAAACCAAGAAAATAATTTTTACACCAAATATTTCAAATATGGCAGTGAGTGTTCATTGTTTTACATCAATGCTCACATTACTTACCATTTACTGTGCTAAGCAGTATATACTTTATACAAATATCAAAATAGTATTCCTAATACTTCCCTTACCGTAAAAGTCTAATGCTCAGAAAACTTCCTTCTAAAACCAAATATATCCATGCTTAGAGTTCTACCCTGGTAGTAGCACATTATCTTTATGAAATGAATTTCATTGTACTATTTTTGTGTGCATACAACACATTTGATCATATTCATCCCCAATACCATCTCACATGCCCTTCTTCACACCCCACTGTCTCATTCTTTCAGTTCTCCACCTTCAATTCATTTTTTTCATTTCTAGACCTAAAGTTTCATTCACTTAACATGAGGACATACTTACTGCTCCATCCATTTTTCTAAAACTGCACAAGCACAGAAAAATCTATTCTTTCACACTAATGAACTCACACCTTTGCACACTGACACTTTAAATAACCACACAGCTACACAAAATCATTCTCACATACAACTAAACACAGATGCACTTTCACAATTGCTCATGCACGCATCGGTATCCTCAAACATGCTCACATTGACAAGTTAATATATTCTCACTTTGCATACTCACAATTCCACTCTTGCACTTATCCACCCAACTCATGCACATATACACCCTCACATATCATACATTACTTCAATCTTGTGCCCAAACAACACACACATTTGCATTCAAATCTCTGACAATTCCACAATCACAGCTTTACCAACACTACATACATGTAGTACACTAAGTACTCTTAATACATGCCTGTATTCAGACAACTAACTATACACACTAAAATGGACACATACTCAGGTTTACATGTTATCTCAAACTCATACACAAAAACCAAACACAATAACTCATACAAACACACATGCTCACATTAAAAAAAAAATCACACACTAGGATACATTCATATATATACTCGCAGAGTTACATACTAACATTATACACCATTCTGCCCTGTCCCAGCAACTAGAACAGGGAAGGTATGGTCCTCAGACCCTACATACTTGTCCTTAACGTCTGCTTTGTTTAGCTCCTAGCACTGACAGGTAAGGAATCCTAGACACTAAGCAGTCAGCCCAAATTTCTACCTTCCTCTCAGCTCCTGCTGCCTACAGGTAAATGGGTCTCCAGACACTCAACACTTGATCCAAAAATCTGCCATCTCTCAGCTCTTGGGGCCAACACGTAAGGGGTTCCAAGACCTGACAAGAACAATACCAAGACAAGCCACTGTGGGAGGGAATCTTTTCACAGGGACCCACCCAGAGACTAAGAACTACAGGCAACAAAGGGATGTTGACAGAATAGTCTGCTCCTTTAATTGGTTATCCAATACCAGGTGGTCAGCTCTGAAATGTTATACATATGAGCAACAATAAGGAGGGTTCAGCAAGACTGTGTGTGTATATGTGTCACAATAACAAAGAAAATACAGGCCAGGGATTTCAAAGGAAGGAAGAGGCAGTGGACCACAGGAGAATGTACTGGCCTGTCCTTGGGGTTTTGACAGGGTATGCCCTCAGCTGCAGCCACTAAGAGCACTACCTGTGCTGTGCATATCAATCATGTCCCATGTTCCCTTTTAAAAAGGGTCCTGCCCACCTCCTATCCTCCTCTCTCTCCCTGTCTGTTGCACCCCCCACCCCGCCCCTTTCCTCTCTTCTGTTGCTTCTGTCCCTGGAGGCCGGTCTCACCCCTCCCCTTCCCCCTTTTTATGATCCCTTTCTTGAACCTTGTCACAAAGCACCAGTATTCTTAAATTACAACATATGGAATGGGGGGGTTAGATCTTAATAAAATAAAACCTACCTCTTTAAATAACTAATTAGGTCTGTTTAAGAACTCACCAAATTGTACTGAAGCATCATATGCTACCTTCTTCTTTTCTCTTTTTTGTTTTGTTTTTTGAGACAGCGACAGGGTTTCTCTGTGTAGCTTTGGAGCCTACCCTAGAACTTGCTCTGTAGACCAGGCTGGCTTTGAACTCAAGAGATCAACCTGCCTCTACCTCCCAAGTGCTGGGACTAAAGGCCCAGTCCTTCCTTATTCTTAATGTTTTATTGTTGTTGCTGTGTTTTTGTTTTGTCTTTGGTTCTTGTTCTTTTATGACTGGCACTTTCCAGATTCCAAGTCTTAAAACTTCAAATAATGCTGGCAAAGGGATGCTAACCACAACCAACTACCTCTATCAAGGGCTGTTAGATCACCCAAAGTAATGTCATGCATTTCACCTACTCTTAGCATGAACCCCAGAGGGACCCACCCAGCTCATTCATTATCCCCGTTCAGTTCGTAAGCAGCTAAAACTGATCACCACCCCATGTCCCAAACACCTAGGTCCCAAATCCTTGAAGGGGAAATGTTATCATAAAGCAAAAGTGCAAATTAAATGCTAGAATGTTCTGAGTTAAAGGCACAGAACTTTAGGCTAAAGGTACATAAAGGTCTTAAAACTGGCTGTGGAACAAATTAACTAGATAAAAGACAAGGCTCTAAAAATAAGCTTTTACAGTTAATAATTCATTGATTTGGATTGAAACACATAAAATCAATAACCTATGTGCTACAAACTTGAGGGAGAAATATCCTATCCCTACACATAAGCAATTTAAGAGAAAAATGTAATGCACACTATATTGGTAAATTGCCATCTGTTGTCAGAGTTCAGTAAGCTGACTCTAGAAGTGACACAGCCTCCTACTGCCCCCATTTCAGACCCAATTATGTTTGTCTCAGAGTATCCTCCAAGGCCCACTGTTTACAAATGGGGATAACTCCTCACCACTGTGACAGGAAGGGTAAACCACCCCAAGAGAAAAACCAGTGTCTTTGGAATCAGCTTGAAGATAAACAATCCCCAAGAGTCATTACTACTGTTTATTCCATAATACTGAAGTGCCAGCAGGGAGAAAGTCAGTTCAGTCAGAGGAAGCTGATCCACAAGAAGTTGATACAGAGCAGAAGACACTCTCAACTGTAAACTCCAACAACTGGCCCAACTTTGCCAGTCCACTTCTGCAGGATATTCTTGCATTTGATTTGGTATGTCTCAGCTATTTGTTCTTTTACTTGGAAGCCTCACCTGAGGTACAACTTTGCTCTGCCCAGAGACTCCATGGGGAACTCCAGTTTACTG